CAAGACCTCGGATCCGTTGATACGAGCCTCGATGATCCGCTCAAAGTCGCCCCCGGCCTTGGTCTTGGTGATGAGGTCGATCTTAGGACATTTGGTGAATCCAAACACCGTGTCGTAGAGCGAGTCATCCGTGGTTCCGGTCATGAGGATCCGGATGCCACACTTGTCCGAGTTCAAGGTTTGAAACAACTCGAGCATGCGTCTGCGGTCGGATTCCTCCATGAGCTCCACGCCGTCCAGCAAAATGAACACGTCTCTTGCGGTGTCGGGAGTTTTCTCGAATTTCTTCACGAGAAGGTTGTTCCACAGAAACTTGAGCTTCTCTTCCTGCTTGTCATTCTGTCCACCCTTAAAGATCTTCGAAGCGATCAGGTCCTTTGCGATCGACTCGCACAGCTTGATGTCGTGGTCGGCAATCTGCACCAGGATGTACGCAAGAACATTCCGGAACGACTGCGACTCCTGTCTACCCGGCTCAAAGGGGAAGTAGGCCGCCAGCATCGTTCGCCGCTGGTCGGGAATATTCTTGTCATTGGCGATACGGTACCGCTTGCTCTGCTCCTGGATCGACAGATAGCAGTGGTAGGCGAAAAAGGTCTTGCCGGTGCCTGCTTCTCCCGAGACAAAGATGAAGGGGTTCTTGTGGCCGGTCGCCCACGACTTGTAGGCCGGGTCTGTCTCAGACCACGAGAAAGTCCCCGGCACGAGATGCTTCCGCACCAATTTCATCTGCGTCTCGACGCGAACTTCGGTGTCCGGATCGAGATCCTTGCTGTTCTTCAGGGTTTCCTTGATCTTTTCCAGCGCACTCGCCTTGCCCCACAGCGGCTGCAGATCGGACGATTTGATCTTCATGTCCTGCAGCGCTTGAATGAAGCTGGTGGGGAGGTTTTCGATCTTTTCGCCCATGCCCTCCACCACATTGAGGATCTGGATCGGCAAGGTGGCGCGGAACAGCAGAATGACTTTTTGCACATGGTCGCATTTCGCCATTATTTCCTTGTTCCGTCCTTTCAGGAGCGCCCGTATGTACATTCCTGTCGCAAATCAGCCTTCAGGCACAGGCAGCCAGCAGTGTGTGTAGGACCCACTCTTCCGACTGTACTCGCTGAAAACCCTTCCGCTGAAGGAGCAAAAGTCCACCATGGCGATGAGGATATCGGTCAATCGGCGCAGGAAGTTGGACTTGTCGAACTGTCGGTGTCGGAGGTCGCCGATATCTTGGAGCGCGATGTTCAGCGTCTCAAAAGTCGACTCAATCAGATCGAAATCCTCCGACATATCTTTAGCCGCCTGTGCAAGTGTCAGCCCAGCCAGGACCGGTGACCAAAGGCTTTCTTCCACTTCCGCCCGGTCCGCACCTGAATCATATACAATATCGAACCAGCCACCAGCTGCGCAGGCACCGCATACTAGACATTGCCATTGGAAAAAGCATCAGTCCTCCCATTCAAAACTCAGTCGCATGTAAAGTCCCCCTCACCGTGCCGGAAACATGACCCTTGACGAAGGTGACCCCGGAGTCCACCCAGTCCAGACACCCGGCCACCGACTTCATCACCTTATCCTTCCGGTCGCCGGGCCGTCGCGAGTGTTCGAACAATTTAGACGCCTTCTGCAGCCCAGTCTCGGCGTCGGACCATTGATCCCCTCGGGTTTGCAGTTCCTCCAGGTTGACATTGTTTTCCGCCGCGATGCGATCGAGCGCCTCTTTCCACAGGTCGTCTAAACTCTTGGGCTCTTTGCTCTCTGCGACGGTACCCGTGGGCGGGGTTGGCGCGGAGGCTGCAGCCGCGGGCTTGGGGTTGGGTTTCTTATCGGACATGGTGTTGTCGTACGGCTAGATGGCCGCCATGTAGTCGTAGGGGGTTGCGCGCGCGATCGGAGATGCAGGGGAAGGGAGGAGGGCGCGTCGGCGCGGATCCGGGGCGATCAGGCATATTTAAAATTGCTGGACTAGCTGAAGAACCCTTTAGTGCAGTGCATTAGTCCGGTGTCAGGTGGTCAAGGGGCGGATGAGGCTGAGATTATCGTGCTGCCCATTGCTGGAGTGCGGGTCGGCGGGAGATTGGATCCTCGCGCGATCGGACGAACTGAGCGAACTGTGCGGCCTAACCCGCGCCTAACGGGATGAATACGAGGCGCGGGGGATATGAGAGTGGGAAAAGAGAAGGGTCTGCGTATTGCTCCAAGAGATGGCCGAGAGATGGGTTTGCGAGGTGACTGGGGGTCCTGGCATAATGAGTGTGTCTGGTCTTTGAGCGTGAGTTGAGTTGAGTTAAGTTGAGTTGAGAGTGCATTTGTTATCAGTGATTGTTTAGAAGGGGGAGGGAGTGAAAGTGTCTGGGGAAGTCGAAGTCTGGACTGGGGCGGTGGAGAATCGGCGGGAGAAAGTGGAGCCGTTGGTCAGGCTGTGGCTCGGTGCCTTACTGCCTGATCCCCCCAGCAGCAGCAGTAGGTGACTGGGATGGTCGTGCAGGAGGAGCTGCAGAGGTAGTCAGGTACAAACTTTGGTGGTGTGTGGAACGGTCCGGGGTTGTCACTCACATCTGCCTGCTAGGCTTCACCCTCACCATAAGCCCACCAATTCGGACCTCCAATGCATTTCCTCCTTATCACACAGCGCATGTCAGGCTGAGTCAGCGGATGAGTAATGACGGGGAAGTGACAGGTGGATCACATGATTCCCGTCACCGGTGCTGACCGCCTGGGGTTCGCCGCCCGGAAGTATCTTTCCAAACGCCGCAAAAAAAACTTTCCTGAATCCATCGACCCAGGCCCTGGCCGAGCAAAACCACTCCCTGCTCCTACAACCCCCCGTCCTCTTTTCTTGCCACTTGTGATTTTTATCTGTCGATCTCCATCTAAGCATACTGAGAAACACCGGAATACATCCCATCGACATCCTCCATGGCAACGATGCAGACCGTTGTTCGCAAGACGGGCGGTGCATCTGGAGAACCGCTTCCGCCCACACTTCCGACTGATACCGTGCCCGACCGCGTGAACACCTCCAGTCTGGGATCATGGTCTCATTTGATTGCCGGCGCGTGAGTGATCTATCGGCAGTTGACCTTGTCGACACCTGAAAGAGAAAGCTAATCGGAGTGCAGGACCGGCGGGATGGTGACAGCTATCGTGACAAGTCCTCTTGACGTTCTCCGCACGCGGTAAGCGCGTTCCTCCTCCAAGCTGGCAGCATCGCCTCTCAACAATTTCCCTCGCGAAGCTAATAAGACATGCACATGAACAGCCTCCAAACCGACTACTACCAGACCCAATCCAACACCCGCCTCACACCACACCCCAATCAAATACGACAATCCTTCGTCCGCTCCTCGGTCAACCACTTCCGGGAGACCTTCGGCATCCTGTTCTCGATCCACCGCGTCGAGGGCTGGCGCGGGATGTTCAAGGGCCTGGGCCCCAGCCTGACGGGCGTGGTGCCCGCCAGCGCGGTCAAGTTCTACACATACGGCAACTGCAAGCGGCTGCTGCCGGAGGTGCTGGGGTGCGACAAGGACACGACGCTGGTGCACGCGCTGTCGGCGGCGTGCGCGGGCATCGCCACGGGCAGCGCCACCAACCCCATCTGGGTGGTCAAGACGCGCCTGCAGCTGGACAAGGCGGGCGCCCGCCGCTACAAGAACAGTCTCGACTGCACGCAGCAGATCCTGCGCCACGAGGGCCCCAAGGGTCTGTACCGCGGTCTGACGGCGAGCTATCTCGGGAGCATCGAGACGACGCTGCATCTGGTCATGTACGAGCGCATCAAGGGGCTGATCGCCACCAAGGTCGATCTGGAGGGGGCCGGCCCCGAGTCGAGCCAGTTCGTGCAGGGTTTGGCGCTGAGCGGGGCCTCCGGGTTGTCGAAGATGGTGGCCTGTCTGATCGCCTATCCTCACGAGGTGAGTTGCACCATTGGTTTTCAGGGTACGATTCTTTGCTGACGGCTCTCTGTCTCTAGGTCATCCGCACTCGCCTCCGACAGGCCCCCATGGCGGACGGTCGGCAGAAGTACACCAGCATCCTGCAGTGCGCGCGGCTGATCCTGAAGGAGGAAGGGATGATCGCGCTGTACGGCGGGTTGACGGCGCATCTGCTCCGGACGGTTCCGTCGGCGGCGATCACGATCGGGACGTATGAGCTGGTTCTCAAAGTCCTTGAGAGACAATGATTGGCGTGGGCCGGCCAACGGCGAGGCGAGACCTCGGGCGGGCGGCGACCGCTTGCTTCCCGTCTCATGTATTATAGACTGTATGATTTCGAAAAAAAGATGTGGCGCATAGATACCCTGTAATCCGACTGCTTGAGGGGTGAATTGTACAGGCCACGATGTCATTCCGGGGTGTTTTGTTTTATCATGTGTGCTTCTGATTCGGGTTGGCGTTGAGCGCGTTTTGTTTTGGTGCACGGTGTTGTTGTTGTCAGCCACTCCCGAAATATATTTAGAATAGACTCTACTTGCTTACAACCACGGTCATGACTCAGTGCTCCGTTTCAATTCTCTAGTCTCGTTGACAAATATCGCTTCGTTGCATTAAATGCGTAAAAATGGTCAATCCAGAATTTTCATAGCCTTGTCGGTCGTTCGTGTATGGAGTACCAAGTATCGAAATGTTATCACGTGACTATTGTTTACTTTGTGCAGATCTAACGCGCAATCTCGACGAAGGGACGAGAAGATCGGTATGGATGACAACTCATGAGAGTTCTACAAAGAAACATCACCTTGAAGCATCGCCTTAAATCCACTCGGATAACAAGTGTCCCCGGCAAAGTTGTCGTAACCATGGCTCTGATAGGTTTAGCAAAGGACACGAGAACCCCCTCAAAACATATACATCGATGCGTACAGGATACAACTGCAACTTGCACCCTACGAATTTGATCACATCCACAATTTACAGGTCAAGAGTAAAGAAGGACAGAAAAAGGATCGTAGCATTAACTCATCATATACATAGAACAGGCATGCCATTATAGAAGAAAAAGAACAAGGATGGTATCAAATCCCACGCAACCTATCCACAGCCCGACAAATCCTCTCACATCTCAGTGAGCATCTCACATCTCCACACCGCGATCCCCTTATCCGTAAGGACGTATCTTACAAGGCGGCCATCACACCGAGGACACCGGCGACACCGGCGACACCGAAGCCCAGGACGCCGGCGGGGGTGGCCTGGGCGCCGGCGGCACCGGTGGAAGAGGAGGCAGAGGCGGAGGCAGAGGAGGCGGAGGCGATGTTGGTGACGGTGCCGGTGGAGGTGGTGGTGCCGGTGGAGGTGGTGCCGTCGTGGGTGGTGGTGAAGGTGGACTTGGCCAGGGTCAGGCTGTCGGAGATGGTGGAGGTGGCGGTCGCGGAGCCGTTGGTGCCGGTCAGGGTGGTGGTCGACGCGGGCCACACGGAGGAGGAGCCGGAGAGCGCGCTGGAGACGGCGCTGGAGGCGGCCGAGCGGGCGTCGCTGGCCGCGCTGGTGGCCTCCGAGGCGACCGACGAGGCAAGCGAGGTCACGTCCGAGGCCCCGGCGGCTCCCGCGGTCGACGCGGCGCTAGCGAGCGAGGTGGCGCCGCCGACGGCGTCAGTGGCGGCCGACTCGGCGCCCGAGACGACGTCCGAGACGACGCCGCCCTGAGGGGAGGCCAGGGCGGCGGTGGACAGGAGGGTGGTCAGGAGGAGGCTCTGGAGCTGCATGGTGTTTGTGGTGGTGGTGGTGGTGGTGGTGTGGTGTGATAAGATAGCGGTAATCGATTATCGATAACTTAATTGAGATGGTACCTGACCCGAGGAGTGAGGATGGATGTATGAACTGGATGTATGCAGGAGAAACTGGAGATCTGAAGAGATTCAAGACCTGCGAGGGACGAGGGTCTTTATATCCTCCATCGCCACCAGGCTTCTGGCATACACCACACAAGCAAACGCAAGAGGTGACTTACCTGTCGACGACAAGAATAGCAGCCCAGCCCAGCCCACTGCATGATCATCTCCATCCTGCTCCCCCACGTTGACAACCTCTCATACGAATCAGGGCTGTCGTGAAGGCTGGCTCGACCAGTCACAGCCCTGGAGACGCGGCCCAGGCCCCACTATGATTCCATTGCGAGCAGTCAGTGTCTTGCCGCGTTCCTGTTTCCCTGCTTGGCAATGACGTTGCCCATGTGTCTAGATTTTGGGTTTCTCTTTTGGCTGTGCTTCTCGTCGTCATTGGAGACCCCGGTTGTTTGTCTGTGGCGGTACGGTTGTGGCGGGTGCCTTGCCCTGCCTCTGTTTCTGGCCGGCATTCCCCCAATGTGAGCCATCACACGCAGCACACCAGAGGGCGTGAGTTGGTGGGTGGTAGCTAAGAATAAGTTCGAACTCTGATACTGGACGGAACCCCCGAAGTGTACCCCATTTGTTGATCCCCAGCGCCGTCTCGCCACTCACAGGCACCAGCATTGACAGCCCGTGTAACCCTACCACAGGAGACTGACTGGTGTGGTGCAAACCACGTCGACTTGCTTCTCTTGCTGCTAGAGCTACAGCTACAACTTCCTGCCGGCCATCAAACCTGCATGCAACCAAGCGTGGGTGCGTCATCAGCAACCAGCAACCAGAGCCCGAGACATGGACGGACGGAAGTATCGGGTCGGGGGGGGGGGGGGGGGGGGGGGGGGGGGGGGGGGGGGGGGAGGGAGGGAAATTACGCAGGTAAATAGGTTACTGGTAAGAAAGACGAGTTCGCCGTCGAGAGCAGTTTAGCTGGTCATTAGCGGGTTGGGCTAGTTAGTGAGTGGTTGCGACTAGCTGAGATTCCGTCAATCCTCTATTAGGTCATCGCCCTTCAAGATCATACTCATAACAGATATGATCGAGGGTAAAAATGAGGCTAATTTAATTTGAAGTGGATGCGATGGTCAATGAGCACGATGATGTTGGTGATGTTGATGCTGTCGATAATGCGAGTATGCTAATAATAATTGTCGATGATGCTGATTGCTGGTGGTAATATTGACTCATTCTGGATTGGGGTAATTACGAGGGATTACCGATAATTACCGATTATCAGTGATGTTCGTCAGTCTCGCCCCCAGAATACTAACTTACCACCGATGTTTTTGCCATTTGGCCACCGGCATTAGCAGCATTAGCAGCATTAGCAGCGTGGAGCAGCTGCTTGCCAGTCCGCCATCGAAAGTGACTATGGGTATATTCTTGGGCAGATGGGGAGTCGGAGTGGAAGAGAGTCATCAGTAATCTTACAACCGGTATGGAGGGAGAGTGCAGTGAATGAGTGGGATGAATGAGAAAGGGTGATCAAGGAAAGAAAGAGGTCACGATCCTCCTTCATGAATCCCACCACTACCGCAATTACCAGGTCTTCCCGGCGTAGAAGCCAGAGTTACCATAAGATTTACAGTACCGGACATACGAGACAGAGGCAGAGGTAGAGTCGCAGTACCAAGAATACAGTAAGACAGAAGTAGGTAAGGTAAGGTAGCATTCATTATTGATTGATCGAAACCGACCGGACGAGTCCAGCTGCAGCCGCAACATCCATTCATCCATTCATCCGTCCATTTTTCTTCGATTTGGATCAAGCCTGCGAGAAGGCCCAAAGAAAAGCGGGGAGAGGGGAGGGGGAAAGAGAGGAGAGAGGGAGGGGGCGGTCAAAGAAGCAAAAGACACAACAGAAGAGCAACAGAAAGGGAGCTTGGAAGGAGAACTAATAGAGAGAAGAGGATACATAACTAGTACTCTGAACTCACAGTACGAAGAGTAGACAGACAGACAGCAATCAAGCAAGCAAGCATGGATGCAGTGGTGGCGGACTGGTCTGATTACACGTCTCGCCTTCTCTTTTGCTTGCTTCTTGTTGTTGTTGCTGCTGCTGCTGCTTTTTTGCTGTTTCTCGATCCTTTCCTTTTTTTTCCCCCTCTCTTCCCTATCATTCGACCTTGTCTGGCATTTTTTTGGACGGGCGATTCTTTTTTTTTTCTTTTTCCCATTTTTTAGCCCTTTTTTGGACGGTCGGCGTTGCAGCGACTGAAACTCGGGCAAGCTCTGGAACGGAGGGTGGGAATGAGTGACGGATTTGTGGCAGTTCCCTGGAAGCAGGCGTAGGCTATCAGGCTAGCCATCCGCTTGCCCCCCTCGGCTCCTCCAATGATTGACAGTGAGTAGCCCGCCGGTTGCCGCATGCGGGTTAGAAGGTTTCGTCCTTCAGCGATCTTCTCCTCCTGGCAAGACCAGTCATTGTCCCTCTTTCTTCCGGCTTATCGCCCCGCTCATCTCGCACAACTTGGCTAACTGGCTGAACTTCTTGCTGTTCTCTTGTTTTCCAGTTTATTATTCTTATTATTCTTTCCTTTCTTCCATTTCTATTCTTTGACTGCACTGGATGACTCGCTTGGTCTTGAATACTCCGGAGTAGATAATTTATTCTTAGTCTGAACCCAATCCATGGAATTCGGATTTGCTTGTGCAGGAGCAAGAGAGTCGACACACAGCAATGGGGGAGAAAAGAGGGTGTGAGAGCCAACCAAGCACCCAAGACGTCAAAGATAGAGGAGGGGGTCTCTTTTTACCCCTCCGTCAACAGCCGGCATCTGACGATCCGGAATGCTGGCAGGAAGAGTAGGACCCTTTTTGATCGAGGACTGGTGGTGCAGTGATGGTGGATGGCGGAGGGAGGAGAGGTAGGAGAGAAGATCTTTGTTGTTGACACTCCCTCAGCTATCTCTTCCCCGTTATCCTGTAACATCCTTACAGAACCGACAATGTGGGCGACATGTTTCATCCGCCGTACAATCCCCGTAACCAGGGAGGTCGCTTTCTTCAGCCCTTGATGCTCTCCCTCTTCACCTTTGACATCACGAGACCCTTAGTGGATCAAACAACCGCCGAAATCCTTTATGGTCCGACGGGTTTGCTTGTTTATGATTTACGACTGCTCATCTCACTCATCCCTTGGCTGTGGAGTTTCGGTGTTTTTATTCTCCCCACTCGACCTTTGATCGTGTCGCATCATCATGACAGGAAAATTCAAGTGTGTAAAGTACTGTAGCACCAGGCTGGTAAAACTTGTAACATACAACAAATAATACCAGAGCCTCCCTCCACGCCCCCGATTTTCCCCCAATGCAGTCCCCGTTTCCTCGTATACTAGTTAGTAACTTGGAACCCAGACTGAAACCAAAACACACCACTCACCAGCCAGATCGGCTCTAGACTGGACTCGAACCCTGTTTGTTAATTGTTTATCGTCCTTCTTATTCTTGATCTTATTCTTGCCGGCCGAACCTCTTCTTACTCCGTACTCCCCACCCACAGTCATTCTTCCTGCGTCGCGTCAGTGGCGGACACGCACCCCATACAACTACATAGTAACCGGTCGCAATGGACATGCTCGCCGGCCTGGTGGATACAGCGCTTGCCTCCACGCACATGGACGCTATCGATGCCCTTCGAGCCTTCTTCATCCTCGCATCTTGTACGGTATGATCAGCCGAAGCATCCGAGAAGCCGAGGCAGACAATAGTCGGAGACGATGCTGCACGCTCTGGACACGGTCCGTTGAGAATGAACTAAATTGAGAAAACCTTAGATTCTGTCGGTCAGCCTGTTGCCGGACTCGTTGCACTCGCGCTTCGTTATTTATGGCGCTCGTGCAACATCAACCGACTCGAAGCCCCCCTCTACCCCAGCGTCCACAACTTCCTCCTCCTCTTCACCCTCGTCATCCCCCGCAACAACACGCATCCTCGACTTCCTTGCCTCCCTGAGAGTCCCTCACAGCTACTTCACGCAATTCTATGTCGCTTCCGTGGCAGCCTCGGCCTTTTGGGGCGTGCAGCTCCTTTGCCGTGGCGCTGCGTTCCAGGCCTTTGCAACGAGGGTCAGCCCAGATCACCTGCAGAGGTCCATGACGATAAACCAAATCTTGCTTTGTTGGGTGTGCATGCTTCTCCAGGGGGTAAGGCGGATGTACGAGTGCTTCGTGTTCTCGAGGCCATCCGCGTCTCGAATGTGGTTTATTCACTGGCTCGTAGGCCTTGCTTTCTACCTGGGGATGTCGGTTGCGGTGTGGGCTGAAGGAGCAGGTACAGCAACCCCTGCCCCCCAACGCATGGCGCAACACAAGAGAGAAAGTCCCATTGATCATGCCACAGGCACGCTTCTGGCCCGCCCAATTGCCCTCGATGATGTGAAGGTCACCATAGCCCCTTCACTCCGCACCTTCCTCTTCCTTCCGATTTTCCTGCTCGCATCCGGTCTCCAGCACGACGCTCACCACTATCTCTTCTCCCTAAAGAAGTATACCCTGCCGACTCATCCTCTTTTCCACAGGCTTGTATGCCCGCACTATACGGCAGAGTGTGTCATCTACTTGTCCCTGGCATTCTTAGCCGCTCCGCAGGGGGAAACCATCAATAAGACGATTCTGGCGGCTATGGCCTTTGTGGCCATTAACCTTGGTCTGACAACGGCCAACACCCGACGATGGTATATCCAGAGATTCGGCAGAAGTTCAATGCAAGGGAAGTGGAATATGATTCCTGGCATGTACTGATTCTAGGTTAAACGTCGAAGTTGTCTGCAACCCGAACTATCGTCTATTCAAGAATTTCATTGTGCTTCCCAGCTTCGCGACCTTGAGCACGTCACGATAAGTTAGACTGATCCTAGTTCCTCTCTGAGACCAGCCACATTCGTACCGTTCGGGCTCCCTCAGCAAGCCCCAATTGCAGATGGAACCGGCACTGAGTTGCTTGTCCCTGTCGGTTTCCGCAATCCCATGCAGGAAGTCCGTGTAGACCCTGTCCGTGGTGACCAGCAGACTACGTCGCTCTTGCAGGATGCGATATTTTGGTTGGCGATCCAAGCCATCTTTAGCGTCGGCCGTGGGCTTGTCATACAGATCCAGCACAATCGGCGCTCCGAGGCTCACAGTAGCCACGAGCGGGTAATATGCTGCGCCGTCTTCATGAGGCATGATCCCTTGTCCGGGACAGTACTCGTTCACCAGGACATGGTTCGGGGCGCCGTGCGGGGCAACTTGGAAGATGTTGAGGGCATCGAAGCGCGGGGTCACTATGGGTGAGACGAGCCAAGAGGGAAGCGGAGAGGCAACGAGGGTGTTGGTCTTGGTCAAAGCAGATGGCCAGGTTTGAAGGCGACGATGTGCGAGATGCGTCCAGCGCGGTAGGGGAGCGGTACCGATCTAGAGAAAATCGTAAATCATAACACGTCCCATATGACTCAGGTAAGTAAGGACTAAATATGTGACTATCTTCAGGAACAAACCTTCTGGAGCAAAAGGGCTTCCTCCACCTCCGAGATGAAGTCGGCAATGTAGAAGGCATCCGATGGCAATTGCTTGATGCGGGCCCTCTCGAGCTCCCCCATCTGGTTCAGGTACAGAGTACTCATATACACCCACCTGACACGTTCCCTTCCGTTTCAAAACTCGACAACTCGACAACTTTCGGACACGCTGTCACTGCATGAGAGCAATCGCATGTACGAGTACGAGTACGAAAAGCTCAATGCAGACAGAGAATTGGACGTATCTGAAAATAAAAATAAAAAAAAAAAACGTCCGACCTCCTAAATGCAGTCAGTGGTTGGTTAGAATCCTCTATCCTAAATTTACTCCCGTACTCGCCTTGTTACTACTTTTAGCTTGCGGATGAGGGGTCCATCGGAATCCCGAGTGCGGAGAGCGAAGGCGGGCTCCTTGGAAAAATAGATATGGCAGGCTGCAGCCTCCAGCTGCAGGCTGCAGTTTGGGTCTCTTTATTTGAGAGACAGTGGACTGAAGGTTACGAGTACTCTGCCCCCTGGGGTCAGGTGATTCAATAGGCGGGGTGGAACACAATGTCTTATTGACAATGGAAGGACTCACATGGATGAACATGACTCGATCTGGTGAACTGGGCGAGTTTTCAGGGAGAATGATGACATCATGGTTTCTGACTTTGGTTGTACTCGGTATACTGTGTAGTCAAGTAAGTGCTGAAGAAGCTAAATCGAGCTTTCTGGGTTCTATTAATGCTAAATTACTGCTGGCTAGATGTTGGTCGATCTGAGCTTGCATACTGGGCTGGATATATTGATCCGGTTCTTCAGCGGTTTGGAGGAACGAAGTAAAGTTGTACGGGATATAGTCCTACCTCGAAATTCTGCATTTACTCGTCTTGTGTGTCAGTAACTATTCTGGAAGTCTCAATAGTAGACCATCTTTCGTAGTATGCTGTCGACGTCGATAGTCGGTACACTTCTATAGAAACATCTGCATACCTCCGGCCCTCGAACCCGACCCCGAACAAAGGAGGAACCCAGCTACGCATATCTAACAGCGTACACCATATGCAACCTGTCCACATCCAATAAGTCTCCCAAATACATTAGATTAAAATATACCAACTAATTGATAAACCACTAGCCCAAAAACCCCAGGCTAAGTCTAACCTATACACCCAGAATCCCCCAACCAACCCCAATCAACCTTCAAACACAGTACATGCAGCATCGAACCTCAGGCACCAAACCCCCACATCCTCACCTTGCTTCCCCACCACCACCACCACCACCTCAACTTCCAACATCCCCAACAACCACGAACAATCTGCCTCTGCCTCATCCCCACTACACTGCACGTCATTAAACATCCCAGCTCCGCCCCTTCAGACACCAACACCATGGGTAAAAACAAAGGCAGCGGCGGCGACAAAAAGGGCAAAGACAGCGGCGGCGGCGGCGACAAGAAAGGCCTCAAGCCCGCGACGGCGATCAACGTGCGGCATATTCTTGTGCGTATTGACTCTTTATATGTCTGTAGCTTATTGGATCTGGGGCAGGGGGGGGGGGGGGGGGGGGTAGTAGCTACTTAATGACCGACACACACACACACACACCCCACACCCTATCTTTCAAGTTCAAGTTGGATATGTACGCCTAAGGCGGGATCGCAACCAGGCTGCGCTTCCTCCCCTCAGCGTCAGCGTCAGCGTCCTAGCTTCCTTATCAGAGAGAGAGGAGAGATGCACATGCCACCCCGAAATCCCCTACCCAGCGTACTAAGCCTAATATCTCTCAACAGTGCGAGAAACACTCCAAGAAAGAAGAAGCGCTAGAGAAACTCCGCAACGGGGCCAAGTTCGATGAGGTCGCGCGGGAGATGTCGGAGGATAAGGCGCGGCAGGGTATGTTTCTCTTTCCCTCCTTGTGGATCTGATCTTGTTTGTATTGACACATCCTCAACACAAAAGGTGGATCACTGGGGTGGAAGGTCCGCGGGAGCTTGAATGGGGACTTTGAGAAGGCGGCGTACGAGCTGGAGCCGAGTACGACGGCGAATCCCAAGTATGTGGAGGTGAAGACGGGATTTGGGTATCATATTATCATGGTTGAGGGGAGGAAGTAGACTTTATGTGGTTGGTTGGAATAAGGAAGATGTCCTTGATTGATGATAAGATGAGGGGAAGGGTTTGATACCACTGCGGTGATGATATGCTGAGTGATGGATTGCAAGCATAGGTCTATGGAGATGATGATTTCTAAACTTGATATGTACAATCGTGAAATGGGAACTTTGATGGCGGATGGACACCCCCTTCGAGCATGATGCTTGTGACTACTCCTTCTTTGTGGCCGCAGCGGCAGCTCGCGCCTTCTCCTTGGCCTTCTTCTCCTGTCGCTGCACGACCGCCTCGGCGCCGACGCCGCCAAACACCAACAGCACCCCCAGCCACTGTCCCGCCGACAGCGAGTGTCCGAACCAGAACACGCTCAGCAGCATCGTCAGCATCTTGCGCGTCACCGTCACCGTCACCAGCAACAGCGACGAGAACCGCGAGAGCGTGTAGAAGATGAACAGCTGCCCGACCGCCCCGCACGCCGCAAACCCGAGCACGTTCTTCAGCGCCTCCGGATGGCGCGACAGGAACCCGATCGCGGCCGTCAGCTCCGTCTCCGTGGACGGCGGGATCGGGAACGGCAGGAGGTTGTGCAGGAGGCCCGTCGCCGACAGATGGGGCATCACCAGCAGATAGCTGCTGGTCAGGAGCGTCGAGAGCACGTTCTGTGCGACCATCATCTGCGGGCCTGTGAACCGGGTGTAGGTCTGCGGCGAGGTGAAGATGTGGTCCTGGGTGGTGTTGGTGAGGCCGTCCAGCAGCAGGTTGATCGATAACAGGAAAATTCCCCACGCGCTGGAGCCGGACTGGCCCTTGGCCGCAGAGGCGGCCACCTTCTTGCTCGTGCCCGGGTGGTGCAGCGTGAAGGTCGCGACGCCGAGCGTGACCAGAAGGACCACGCCGTACTTGTAGAGCGGGTAGCGCTTGCGGAAGATGGTCAAGTGGAGGAACATGACCGGGAGCAGTTTGCACGACTTGGCGAGGATGAAGGTGAGGTAGTCGATGTGCGCGAGACTGGCATATCCGAAGGGGGATGCGAGCGACGAGGAGATGCTGACCAGGAGCAAGGGGAAGAGGATCTTCCGCGTGGGGAAGATGGAGGGGACCTTCTGTCCGGACGGAGTCGAGAAGAAGAGGTAGAGGAAGCCGGTGATGGCGGCAAAGGTGGATTGGATCGTGTTCAGGACAATCGAGTATGTGAAGCGCTCGGTGGGCGGTTCGGGCAACTCAGCGCTCGGAGGTTGAACCGGATAGGAGACGGTGGTGATGGCTTCTTGGAGGACACCCCATGACAGACTGGTGTGCAGCAGTCAGCTTTAGTTTTCCCTACAATGCGCAGAGTCAAGAATCATCCCAGACACATACAAAGAAGCATAGATTCCCAGAACGCAGACAGCAAGCTGCATCAGGCCAGGGGTATCTTGCGTCGCATCCTTCACTCCAGAGACATGATTATGGGCGACAGCAGCTCCATTCTGCTGCTTGAGTGACTGCGCACTCGATTCATTCGGCGGCACATGCATGAGTTGGGAAGAAGTGGCCCGTTGTAAGGGTGCTGTTTGTTTTTGACGTGCCATTGGCAGAGGAAGCGAGCGCAGTTGGGTCTCTGGTAACTTGAAACCAATGCAATCAACGAAGTTGTGGAAGGACTGTGACGTGACAATAGGATCAACAGAGTATGAGTATCTGAATCAGAAACAAAAAATAATCTCCACCAGGTCGCATAAATACTGGGAGACAAGAACAACTTCAAAAGAGTGACTCGAAAGCAAGGGGAAAAAAAGAAAGTGACTGGGGGTCTCGAAATAACTTTATAGAAATGTGTTTCAGATGATGCCATGTGTTCTGTTCTTTCCTGCCTGCAGCTGTTTTTCTCCCCGTCCGTTCCCAAAAACGCGCCGCGGAACTTCGGCCGGCGCGAATCCATCGCCCTTTTTTCCGCCCCGCCCGAGGGGGATTTCCTTCTCCAACTTTTTAGTCCGATCCTCCACTTTGTATAAGTGCAGATTGAGCTTGGAAGCAATTGTCGCGCATTCACTACAATTGATTCTAGCCATCCAACAGACCCAATCTCACCACACGTACCACACACAAACTTCCCCTCCACCAACCACCGTATCACCTCCCGCCTTGCGATCTCTACACTCCTCCATCTTCAACCGCGCGCAACCAAGCACGACAGACAGACACATACAACCATGACCTCAACAACCACCCCCTCCGCCCTAACAACCCTCGTCACCTCCTACACAACACCAGCATCAACATCACCATCATCCTCAACCCCCACCACAACCCCAAGCTCCAACCTCAACCCCAACCTCAACCTCAACCCCAAAACCTCCGCCCTCACCCTCCAAGTCCTCCACAACCTCCAACACCAACACCTCTGGACCTCCCTCCAAATCCACGAGCTCACCTCCACTGTCCCTACTGCCCCGGCATCCACCGAATCCCACACCGAAACAATCAACCTCATCTCGGGAATCCCCCCGCACCGCCTCTATACCCACCCGGACGAGCAATTCTACCTCCTCGAACGCGGGCTCCGTGAGGAAGACCTCGAGCTCGAACGAATGTTCGTCCTCCCCACCGTGCAGGGCCACACGTGGAGTCTCCGGCGGTTGGCCGGGGTGTTTGACGCGCTGCCGGAGGCGGAGGATCCTGGGGATCTGGGGGGTGAAGTTGAGGATGAGGCGGGGGTGGTAGTGGGCGAGGATGATAACAGCAGCAATAATGGTAGCGGCAGAAGCAAGGCGGACAAGTTGAAGGAATATTACCGGTATCGGAAACAGGCCCGTGCCACTAGGGAGTGGGGTGGGAAGAGGATGCTTCTCGCTATGGTGGATAGGCAGATGGGTGGGGATAGTACGGTGGTCTATTATGTTGTGCAGGATGGTGCGGTCAAGCCAAGACAGAATTGATACCGTTCTCGTTGCCGAGTCTTGTTCTCTGCTTGCCAGTTGGAGAGAAGGGGGCCTATGCATGGATTTGGGGTTTGCAGCTGGCTGGACAAACGGAAAAAAAAGAGGAAGGACGACGACGACGACGACAGGGAACGGTCTACCACCGGTTTGCACAGCACAGCAGAGTCTCGTCCAATTTATACTATTACAGCCCAAACCCGACCAAAGTTATATACATGTGTTGAGAACGGCAACAAAGATACAGCCGTGCTTCTGGAGAGATACAATTGATATAAAACATATCGCCTCGCATTGTCGGGTATTGTTTCAGCTTGGGACGAAAGAAGGGCACATGAAAGAAGAGAATTGGCACCACGCAAGCAAGACCGGCCATGAATGTCTAAAGCTCACCGAAAGCATGATCGTCTTCGATATGTGACCGTTCGGCCTGGCAACTGGAGCAGTACATGCCGTACCATTGCTTGACGTCGCCACTCAGGTTGGCGAACGCATTCGAGTTGGTTCGCTCCCCCTCCATTTCGGCATCATCAAGGTCATCATTCTGGCCGAGGAGGATCCCGACCTGGCGACAGCGGCGTAGTTCCTGTCGAAGCCACCGCTCCCACTCATTCTGGATGACTTCTCGTTCGATGCTATTTACCACTCGAAGAGCCACTAGGAGGTTGTGTCGGTAGGTAGCCAGCCGTTCACGGGTCTGTTGGATCCTGCGAGCTGCGCTCTTGGTCATGGAGTCTCTAAAACCAGCTGACCCCAAAGACAAGGCCGTCCCTGGCTCGCGCAAGGTCTGTTGATGGAACGTCGCGAAGCAGTCACTTACGTTGCCGCTTCCGCGCCCGACGGTTATGTTCGCAATGGCCTCGTCGATATCCCTCATATAGATAGCTCTACTCATCACATTATCGGGACCGACTCCAATGCGGGCCATGAAGTTTCCAATACTCCTGTCATCCCACCATTCATGAACAACTCGTAACGAATAGAACCCATTTATCAGCACGCTCGCCAATAGTAGGGACAAGATCACTGTGTGCGCATTAGTGGTCTTCCATGACCAGCGTAGGAAAGCACCGGTCCACATGAGGAGGGATGACACGGCACTCTCCAGGAAGGATAAAAACGTCTCGAACAAAAGGTGAGCCATATTTCTCTGGACGCGAGGCTTGCGTGATTCCAGCTTCAAGTCCCCGGAAGGTGAGAACTGCGAGGCGAAATTCTGACGCCCGACATGGCCGAAGATCGTGATGGCCTTTTTCGTTCGACTATGTGCGCCTAGTCTGCGAACCTGGTCACCTACGAGGTCGACGAGGTCTAGCGCGTCTTGTTCCAAGTCACTGCTTGCACTCTTATCCACGACGCCTGAGACAATTAGCGGTGCCTTGTATGTTCCCAGCAGAATACAGTAACTCACTCTGCATGCCATACGGAGACCATAGCCATTCCACCTTCGTGTAGATAGAGAGTTTGCTCTTGCCCTTAGCGACAAAGGTAATCACAACCTTGCTGACCAGCCTAAAGGACCGCTTGAATGGGAGGTGCCAGGGAGTGCGTTTGTCCGTGATGACGTAACAAAGGTGGTCATTGAGAACATCGATCATTTGGTAATCTGAGATGGTTTGGCTGTGCTTGGCCCCTACTGATTGTCAGACCAGGCGTAACCCGTCCAGGGGAGCCAAAATACTTACCCAGAATATCGGTGGTCTCAATTGAGTAGTTGAAGTCTCGCCTTAGATGATTGGACTCATGTCTGGTCCAGGGCCCTTGTTTGATACCTGTGACGATCTTAGCAAGCGCCGGACTGGACTCGGCTATAACTTACCCTGAGCATTTCGTTGATGCAGAAGCAGCTGCCACACAGCACTCTTATCCCCGAAGAGGATGTGGAACACTGCTTTAGGACTGATGTCGAACACCTTCTCTGCAGCCAAGTGAAGATTTCCCTGGGGAACATACTGAACAGGCTGAGTGGGAAGTCGGAACTTTGGAATGTCCTTGCCATTGCCGTGCTTTTTGTGCATGTTGAGGTCATTGTCAATGTAGATAGGTAAGCGAGAGTCCTTCTTAGAGCCTCCTGTCGGCGCATCACTGAGGTCGTTCTTGTCGCCCCCAGCGCCCACGTCCTCCCAGCTATCCAGGCTTGGTGTCCGTGTCATTGCCTCTGTCTCCATTCTGATCAAAGTCTTGAAAATGGCTTCCAGTCCCAGAGGTTCAGCAGCCGCCATATTGTGTATAAGGAAGTTGAGTCGCCTCTGAAGGAGTCTTAGTGGCTCCAGGAAGGTTTTAATCGTTCCACGACTTGGTGTGTCGTCGCCAGGAAGAGGTATCAGGTGTACAAACAAAAAGTCACAATCTCTACCAGTAGCAGCAGTGATCTCTTTGATACTTTCCAGAGATATGCTTGTCGTCAGTACCAGACCGAAGTGGTGGCTGTAGAAATAGATATTTTGGGTTGTGACATAAGCCCTCCCAGGGAAATCTTGCTGGTCGTTCGGGCTCCATGTGGCCCGGAACACCATAACCAAAGGCTCATCCTTCTTGATATCGGGGAAAAGCAGTCGGAATTGGGCATCATGAATTTTAAGCTGCGGTGGATAGAAGCTAGGGTAGTCGTGCGAATCACCCATGAGCGCTTGCTGTATTTTAGACGAGTCGCCGTCCAAACTCACCGTCGGTCTATGGCGCGACCCGGTCTTCTGTGGTTTAGGCGTGACAGATCCACTCGAAGTGTCGGCTTCTGCGATCAGAAATTGTTTAGAGGGATCTTTCGTTTGAGCAGGTGGCTTATCCGGGTCCTGATCGGCCGGTAGTCCCAGTCGCTCAGGCTCAAACCTGTTCAAGAAGCCCCAATTGGAGCTACCCCACAAGTTCGCCATCATGCCGCTGGGCATTCCACCTGTCTTGTCGATCTGACCGAGTCCTATACCACGTTCATTGCTCACGAACACAGCAGCCTTGCTCATACTGGTCGGAGCAGGGGGGTTGGCCAACGTCATCGGGGCAAGGGTTGTGGGAGAATCATTACCAAGAGTCGAGCTACGGGATCTAGTCCCGTCGGGGTCAACGGGTAGAGTACTTCCAGAAGCAATAGCACTATGACTTGCGGTGATGAGACTAGCAATTCCGCCTGCGACTCCGGGGATAGATTGCGAGGACTGCACTGTATTATTATTTGATTTGCGGTGAAGATCCAGCTTCTGCATGAGACGTGAAGTGTGTTCGCGGGCAGGGCTGTCAGAGTCCAGTGTCGTCAACCTCCGGTAGCTGCTAAAGTCGCTACTGTTGCGAAGAGCAGACGGATCCTTCTCTGGCAGCGAGAGCATCCCAATGCGATCGGACGAGCCCTGCTCATCGCTTGTATGAGGCGTGAGAGAGTCGGCAGGATCAGCGGCAAATTCCGGCGCTGGGGGTTGAGAAATTGCAAAAGCAGGGTCCTGAACAGTGACTTTGCCGGACACAGAGAGGTCGGTGCTCGATGGATTTTCAAGAGCCTTGCGCTTAGCAGCCTCAAAGGCGGCAATCCAATCCATCAGGTCTTTCTGTGTCTCAGCCTGGAGCATAATGGTGTTACTCTTCGTCTTGACCTCGAAACAGAACCTCCGGTCTTCTTGAAAAGCCGGTCGAATACTGCAGAGTAGGACACCAATACGTTCGCTCTCCTCAACACCACCGGTGCGAGTGCCCTGGACGAGACAGCCAAAGATACCGTGTTTCAGAAAGGACCAGCGCCTAACCCAGACAGTGCGTGTAGGTTTACCCGAGAGAGTCCGAAGATATAACCACCCTTGCTTCTCAGGTCTTGCCTCTTTCGACATGCTATTTATCGACAGAGGACGCGAGCCAAGGTATGGGACTGTGGATACAGAGTAATCATCTAACTCACGAGATGGCCTAGCTGCAATTTCTGCAGCCTCCTCGATCTGCTTCCTAGAAGCCAGAAGCTCCCGCTTGGCAGATTTCTCATTTCCATCCATTTCGTGCACCCAGCCCTTGATGCGGTCCATTTCGTGAGCCCACTTTGCGAATGAGCTACCATTGTTGGTATGGAAGGTCTTGAGCTCTCGCCACTGATCAAAGGAGACGCGAACCAACAACCTGTCAAGCGCGTTCCGCAGCTGAGGTGCTTGAATTGAGAAATCCATCGATGCTTTGAGATAGGCTTTGCGGGCCTCATGAAGCTGGAAGGCATCTTCCCGTAGCGCCGAGGGCTCTTTGGATTTGGACTGTGACGAATACCGGGCCAGCAAGTAGTCGTACTGTTTCTGTGTCTCGCCGAGCGTGCGACGGTTCTCCTTGAGCGGGGGTCAGAAACGGATCCTTAATTTAAGGGGCCCCATATTTATTACCTTGAAGTTCCGCAAGTCCTCCTGAATGAATGCCCTTATGGGTTCGGAGACGAAAGATTCCAGCTTTTTGACAGTAGACACTAATCCATTCCACATGTCCTTTGAGCTGTCACCACATCTCCGCATCGACTGTAGAGTGTAATCATGGTCCAAGACGGCTTCGGAGACCATTAAAGGATTCGTGGAGTAGGACAGAAAGACGCTAACAGCGCCTTCTATTGCTGCCAGTTCTGTGGCGAGCTTGGAGGTGGCTTTCGCATAGCCATCGAGCCATCTCTCGAGGAATTCGATCTGGTCGGAGAAGTGAAGAGCGGCGGCACGGAACGTGGGGGAATCGAGTGCAGCCTCCTTTAAACCGACCGGACTTGAAGAGAAAGAAAACGTTAGATGGTACACATTTTTGGAGCTTTGAAGCGCATTAGATGGAATGGCAGAGCGTCGAATACTCACACCACACTGACAAGCTTCCCAACCTGGGGTAATGGGATCTGCGGCTGAGTCGACATCTAGTGTATGTCACCAGCCATACACCGATGCGAGCGAGAATAACGTGGAGAATTGACAGGAATTCAATCCCAAGTTACCATGGATATCAATTCAAGTAAGCAGCATCCAAAAAAAATGAGGAGAATAGCAGCAAGGGATAGGAGGGGGTTTATGTCGCAGTGGAGGGGAGGAGCTTTAGGAGATCGAGTGCCTCTGACCATCAAGGCGGATACAGGACCGCGCATGATTTAATTGGCTACGTCAGTGTCTTTGTACCGCAGCCTGGTTAATCAGGCAGAACGGGGTCGATGGGTCCAGGAGGGCGGTCAGGGTGGAGCCTTTTTTTTCTGCCGGCAACCGCCTTTTTTTTCCCCTGCGGCGGAGAAATCATTCAATCCTATTCTCAGAGCAACATTCCAGGATTCAAGTCACTTGCAGTTTCTTCCTGAGACAAGATGGCGCCTCCATCTAAGAAGTCGCGCAAGTTGCTGGATGATAGCTCCAGCGACTCGGAAGATGAATCTGGTGGCGTTCCTATCAGCAACGAGGATGTCGTTTTCAAGATCAATGAGGATTACGCTCGTCGCTTTGAGCATAATAAGAAGAGAGAAGAGATGCAGCAACGTAAGGCCACTCCACTATCTTGATTCTCTCAACGATTGGACTAACCTCTGGATCACTATAGTGGAGTCAAAGCTAGGCAAGTCTTCGGTACTTGGCAAACGTCGTGATCGTGACGGGGAAGATGAGGATTCCGATGAAGAGTCATCATCGGATGAAGAAGAGGACGATTTCGGAGAGCTGGCTACTGAGGCTGTGGATGTTGAAATCATGGACACTATCAAGGCGATCCGATCCAAAGACCCTCGCGTGTACGACCCGAATGCCAAGTTCTTCACTAAACTCGACGAGGAGCAACCACAGAACACAGAGAAGAAGGAGAAGCCAATGACCCTGCGCGATTATCACCGAGAGAACCTACTCAGCGGCGCCAACTTGGCCGACGAGGAAGACACGAGCAGTGCTCCTAAAACATATGCCCAAGAGCAGGCCGACCTGAAGAACGCCATTGTCAAGGAGGTGCACGCTGCTGTTGGTGACGAGGATGCGTCCGAGGAGGACGAGGAAGATGAATTCCTTGTCGCTAAATCCAAGCCCGAGTCTTTCCCCGAAGCTAAGACTGATGCAAACCTGGACATTGAGAATGCGGACAAGGATCCGGAGACGTTCTTGTCAAACTTCCTGTCAGCAAGGGCATGGATTCCGGCTGGCCGATCGGAGCTGCAGCCATTCGAGTCCGACGACGAGGAAGAGGACGAGCGGGCGGAGGCATTCGAGGAGGCATACAATTTCCGCTTTGAGGATCCCAGCAAGATGAATGCTACTCTCATGACGCATTCTCGTGACGCTACCAACCAGCAGTCTGTCCGCAGAGAGGAAAAGAGCATGAGAAAGAAGCGCAGAGATGCGGAGCGAGAGCAGAAAGAGCAGGAAAAGAAACAGCGCGAAATTGAGAAGAACCGACTTCGCAAGCTGAAGATGGAAGAACTGCAGGAGAAGGTTGAGAAGATCAAGGAGGTTGCCGGCATCCATGGAACTGAGTTGACGGATGAAGATTGGGTCCGCTTCTTGGACGATGCTTGGGATGATAAGGATTGGGAGGCCGAAATGCAGAAACGATTCGGCGAGGACTACTATGCCGAAACTGGACCCGATGGCAAGAAGCACCCCAAGAAGCCCACATGGGACGATGATATCGATATCAAGGATCTCGTGCCAGACTTCGATGAGGAGGAAGAGGTGCCCGCTGTGGCCGATTCGGACGTTGAAATGGCGGATGAGCAGGAGGGAGAGAAGAAGAAGAGCAAGGCGCAGGAGAGGAGAGATCAGAAGCGCGAATTCCGCAAGGATCGCATGCGTATCGAGGAAGCCGTGGACCGCAATCTGGACCTGGATATCAGCTTGCTTCCTGGAGCTACCAAGAAGAACGCAACCGGATTCCGTTACCGCGAGACCTCGCCTCAAAGCTTTGGGCTTACTTCTCGGGATATTCTCATGGCCGATGACAACCAACTCAACCAGTTTGCAGGCCTGAAGAAACTTGCGTCATTCCGTGACCCGGAGAAGAAGTACAAGGACCAAAGGAAGTTGGGCAAGAAGGCTCGCCTTAGGCAATGGCGCAAGGACACCTTTGGTGATGAAGAAGGCCCCAGAATCTCCGATGAGGCTCCCAAGGCCCCTGCGGCAGACCAGGAAGATGTGGGCAAGGTTGATATCCGCGATGGTGAGCCCAGGAAGAAGAAGAGAAAGAGGTCGAAGAAGCACTAAATGCTTTAACCGAGCTACAGTCTTGAGCATGTATGTCCTTACAAGATCGTTGTCTTGTCTTGAATGGTTTCAGTTCAGAAAAGTTCTTAGCGATACATCCGTGTTTTGATAGATTTTAGATGCAAGATATACCTACTTCGTTGCATATGGCTGTAAACATCGCATTGGACAAGCTTCAAGGTGGCTTTGTATGATCTAGGTACCGTTTTGCTCAGCTAGGGCTGCAACAGGGGATTGAATGCACAATTTAAGATGTCTTCAAATTGGTGTATGTATACAAGATCCCGAGCGCTCAGGACAATGAATAATTAAGCTCTTTAAATGTACCTGGCTGAGTGTGATTGAATTTCTATAGGGTGAGTCGTGTACATCGACTTCCCAGACTGGGCTAGGTTATCATCCCGACGCAGCAGACTCTCAGGCCCTGTGGGCCCCTGCGTGAGGGCACAATCTGGTACACTGGAGTGTCCTGTACTCAGTAGAAGAGGCGAAAAAGTGGATATCATCATGGCGACAGAGCAGGGGGTCTAGTATTCATTAATGTGGATCCAACTGGACATTGTTTCTTCTGTTTTTAAACTTCGTAGTTGAACCCGTGTCTTCCCTAGGCGCATGGGAGGCAGCGATAAGCAACCCTACGGAGGACTATTTGATATGCGACGGATCCGGATCCGGAAGACTGCACAGATTTCTCCAACTCGAGGATGGAAAAAGGTACAATAATAGTAGTACTTGAGTAAAAATCAACCAGTTGACTATTTCGATACTCGATACCGATGTAAATCTGCCCCAGGTCCTAGAAGTTGGAACCTATTAGCACCTCCGCATTACCGAGTGAAAAGACTTCTCATTATTCACTCCCGTGCCTCTGGCGGCCTGGCCCAACTTCTCCGAGCCTTAGTATCCTCCGGACGGAGCGAATGACGGGGGGAAAACGCGGGATGACAGCCGAAAGTCGGTGCACGCGCTTAAATGAAAGTATACGAATCAGACTTCTACGTATAGATACATAGTACGAGGAGTAAATTATGAGGGTGTAGGACTAAGGGAAGGTCACATTTTTCTCCTTGGCCCGAGCAGAGACAAGTTTTTCCGGGAACCAGAATCCAAAGGAAGGAAATTCGCCATCGGGTAACCGGGAGGAGTTGGAGAAAGGGATGTGCGTCTCGACTTGTTGTTAGTTATGCGGCGGCGGCGGCTGCTACTGCGACTGCTGCTGCTGCACGCGGACAAAAGTTGGTTCGGTGAAGACGGGCGGAATCGCTGACGAGGCACTAAGGCAGCAAGTGACCGGTCTCTTTGTTATTATGAGGAGGAGGATTATTGTTGTTTTGGGGGCGCCGATGGTCCCGATATGGAATCTCCAACTGAGGCTCTGGGCATTGGCATTCTACAGAACAAATTGTCATGTCTTCATTAAACTATGTCCTGATAATGGACAAGTCTCAATCCAACCGAATAGTTAGTCTTGGATGAAATTAATTGATACTTGTAAGAGTATGGAGTACGTAGGGACGATTGTTTCTGCTCCATAAATAACTCAACTGCGAGAGATTTCCCTCTTTTCCCTTCTTCTCATATCAGCGGTCGGGACGGTTACTGGCGCGATCGGGAGATATCGGCTCTGGTTGCCTGGGCCAGCATTAGCGCCGGACCCAGTTTTTTTTTCACTTTTTCTGAATTTTTTTTCCTTGGTGGCCGGTAGACCCGCCGCCTCCTTTCCTCCCTCCCTCCCTTTTCTCCCTTTTCCCCTACTGTAAGTACAATGGGAAAACTCCCTACTCCGGACCGGCACCCAGATAGCCTTCTCAAAGTGGACTAGTGTGGCCGCTGTTCGCCGCCGCTGCCATTGCTTTGACTGCACATTCAGGCCAGCGAAACAAATTTCCCTTTCTCCCTCCCTCCCCCCCCCCCCCAAAAGAAAGAGTCCCAAGAGAGTCCTAGCGTCTCCGCTCGCTTCTTCCCGCTTACAAGAGCCCTCCGTTCGCTATTTTTTCTCCCTTCCCTTCCCTTCTTCTTTCTCTTCTTTCCCCCATCCCCCCGTGAAGTGTCCTGTTTGTCTGGCACTATCTCTCTCCTCTCTTTTTTTTGTTTAGTTTTCGTTTCTCACAGCCGTAAAAATGGCCAACGGTGACGTTAACCAGGCCGACAAGTCGGTCTTCGGCATGCCCGTAAGTTGCTACCTGTCCCTTCGCTCGACAGTCCACCAGTTTTCCGCATCACGCGCCCTTCGATATCCAACTCGAAATGGCATTGAATGAGCCGAAATGAGCTTGCATTGTGTCGAATGGGTCGGGGTTTCGAAATGCTGGTCGATCTGCTTCATTGTCGATGGAACGCAATGCTAATAAAAATTTTTCACAGGGCTTCGTCGTCGACTTCATGAGTATGTGAAATCCCAGGTCCCATGGATCGATCGCCACCCAATGATCGATCTTTCATCCATTAATCAACGACATATTATCGACTGCTATCTATGGATCAATGATACTAACTACTATCCACAGTGGGTGGTGTTTCCGCTGCTGTCTCCAAGACTGCTGCTGCCCCCATCGAGCGTATCAAGCTCCTCATCCAGAACCAGGATGAGATGCTCCGCGCTGGTCGTCTCGACCGCAAGTACAACGGTATCGCCGACTGCTTCCGTCGTACCGCCGCCGCTGAGGGTGTTGTCTCTCTCTGGAGAGGTAACACTGCCAACGTCATCCGTTACTTCCCTACCCAGGCTCTCAACTTCGCTTTCCGTGACACCTACAAGTCCATGTTCGCCTACAAGAAGGAGCGTGATGGATACGCCAAGTGGATGATGGGTAACCTTGCCTCCGGTGGTGTATGTATTCCCGATCTACACGAGTGTTTTGAAGACGGGCAGTCACTAATCAGACGAACAGGCTGCTGGTGCCACTTCCCTCCTCTTCGTTTACTCTCTGGATTACGCCCGTACCCGTCTCGCCAACGACGCCAAGTCCGCCAAGGGCAACGGTGAGCGTCAGTTCAACGGTCTCGTCGACGTCTACAAGAAGACCCTCGCTTCCGACGGTATTGCCGGTCTCTACCGTGGTTTCGGTCCCTCTGTTGCTGGTATTGTTGTCTACCGTGGTCTGTACTTCGGCATGTACGACTCCATCAAGCCCGTTGTTCTCGTTGGTCCTCTCGAGGGTAACTTCCTTGCTTCTTTCCTTCTCGGCTGGACTGTCACCACTGGTGCTGGTATCGCTTCTTACCCTCTTGACACCGTTCGTCGTCGTATGATGATGACCTCCGGTGAGGCCGTCAAGTACAAGTCCTCCGCCGATGCTTTCCGCCAGATTGTCGCCCGTGAGGGTGTCAAGTCCCTCTTCAAGGGTGCTGGTGCTAACATCCTCCGTGGTGTTGCTGGTGCTGGTGTCCTGTCCATCTACGACCAGGTCCAGCTCCTGCTCTTCGGAAAGAAGTACAAGGGTGGCTCTGGCTAAACGATTTGACTAAAAAGGTCAAATCTGTTTGAGTCGGTGTGAATCCTTCTGGGGAAGGGGTTGGCCAGTCATCCGGTGTAACTACCGGATGCTGGACGATACTGGGGAGGATAGAAATATGCCTCAAGAATGACACGTTTGTCTTGGGCATAAAGAAGTGTGTCATTTCCTCTTGTACCAGTTGTATTTTACTGCCTGCAAAGCTTTTCTTTTTCTTTCCAATATCTCCTCGTAGTTTGCCTCTGTAAACCTTGTCTGGTAGACTTTTCCGAGCCTGGTCACCTGATAACCGTCACGTGCACCCGCCCCATGCAGTGACGTCGTTTATGTCGTACTGGAGCAGGGAGTAGCTCCTTCAACGCCTCGAACTACAACTTCGCAGGGCTAGATCGCATTCACAATATGGACGACAGAACTTCAAACTTACACGGTGATTCCCCTAAGAGAACCTCATCCCGAGGGCCGCAGCCAGAAGAAGTTGTCGTTGACAGCTCATCGCAACCTCCCACCACCGCGGCAGCTACCTCAACTGCACCATCATACTCACCCATCTACGCCACCGCGCAACCCAACGACATACCTTCTTTGCCCGTGCAAACGCCAGCGCCTGCGCCGGCAGCACCTCCATCCTCAACATACACCCCCACACCAATCACCATGAGCGACGCCCCCATCCCAAGCTCGAGCATCACGGCCACGACCACGACCACGACCACGACCACCTCTCCCCCACCCCCACAGCCAGGAGCTCCTCCCGTCCCAGCACCTACAACTTCAGCCTCAGCTTCCGCCCTAGGAACCTCCATACCTCCACCCCCCAAAGCAAGCGAGATCCCGAATCCAACCGCCACAGCAGCAGGAGCACAACCACCAGCACAACCACCACAAACAACCGCAGCGCCAGCAGTCACAGCAATCACCCCATCAACAACAAACCCCCAACCCCCATCGGCCCTCCAACCACAACAACAATTCCCATACAGCACCACAACACAACACCAATACAGCCCCCCAAACCCAGCCCCCACGGCTATCCCCAACGCAACAACAACCCCCTACCCCTCCCTCTACCAGCCTCTGACCAGCGCCACAACGACTTCGCGCCCGGCAGCGACGGCGACGGCAACGTCCCAACAACTCCCGCTGCACTACGACCCCGGCGTCTCGGGGCGGGTGGATCTCGACGAGGACGGCGCGGCGGGAAGCAGCATCATGGCGAACGCCAAGTCGTGGCTCCGCAGTGCGGGGACCAAGTTGGCCGAGGTGGAGGCGGAGGTGTGGAAGAAGATTAATGATGTGCATGATAAGTGAGCCTCTCCTCTTCTCTTCTGATCAAGAAACAGTAGTGGGGGGAGGGGGGTCATGTATCTAGTGGGTTGGGGGAGGGGGTTTGAATATTGAACGTGTCTTGCTGTGTTGGGCCAGGGGGAGGAGTTCTAGGATCTTATCTTTGTTGCTTGTAGTTTGTTTTTGGGTGTTTGGGGTGAGTGGGTGGGTTTTTGTTCGTGTCAACTATCGGAGGTTGTAGGGCTAAAAGTGAGTATCTGGTTGTTGGGGGGTGGTAACGCTTGCCTGTTGCGGAGGTTGAGAGTTCCAAGGTAGCACTTGGTTCAACCTGTATATGTGATAAGCTGTTCAATATGATTACTGCTTACCTATTGATAACCAATCTATAATAAATCCTCTTAACGTGATGGTGAGCAACAAGTAGTCTATTATCTCAATCCTAACCAGGCAAGAATATACAACAAGCAAAACTTGAAAGATGACCTTGGTCTATGGCTAGCATAGGTGTTTGTATTAATGTCTATATATAATATTCACACGGTCTCACAGGCAACCTGTAGGACCCATTTGACTGTTTCCTGAACCCGTCAAAAATATGCACAATGTGGAGTGGTGATTATCCCGTGTCATCAAGTATATATGTACTGTAAATGTGTTGAAGGCCCCGGAGGGCTCAATGCAGGAAACGAAGGTGCTGTCAAGATAGCAGCGGAGGTATCATAGTCATAAGTCCATGCCATCACCTGACAGAATGTCAAAGCTGACTGCGCGTCTGTCAGTGTTGAGCTGACGACGTTGGCATCGTAGCGATGCCGTCAAAAGAAGAAAAACGCCTTCATGTCAATCCCAGATAAGCCAAGCCAACTCCCAATGCAACCCGGGATCGAACCAGTCGACCCGTGGTGTTCGTGCAGCATGCTGGTAGCTCCAGAGATGAAAGTCGAAAGCAAAAATGTATGTACTAAGAAAGGAATAGTCCAGCCTCACAATAGGTCATGCAAAGTTACCCTAGGATGGCCGGTCGTCACTGGCCATCGAGCCACATCACATCGATCCAAGCCGTAACAATGCGGCTGCAGCTGCAGCGCGCTCATCCCCGTCATTCATGGCATTATCAGGTGGATTGAACCCAAGCTGTTGAATAGGAAAATTGCGCGGTGCGGATTTTGCTAAAGATGAGGTTGCCGGCCCTCCTCCACGGAGTTGAGGCGACTTGCCGCTGCCGTAGACAATACCGCCTGAGGCGTTGAGGGATCGTGCACGTAGAGCATCAGCCCCTATCTGCGCCCAATCCTCCTCATCTGTCACATCTTCCTCCCCCCAATCCTCGATTGGCATTTCGTCGTCAGGGGCCTCAGAAGATGAGCAGTACTCGCGATCGTTGCCGTCCAGAGACATCTTGTCAGCTTCCTCTTCCAACATGCTGATACCGGGACGGCCAAACTCCATCTCGGTTGAATAGGAAAACACGGCGGAATCACCCGCTACGCTGGTGCCATAGGGCTGCAGGCTGTCCCTCTTGGTGGTGGGAATCTGCATGCCCCGCTGGGAGAACGTGTCCGAGGGGCTGGAGGGGGGCGACATGTTCATTCGTTGCGAGTCTCTGCGCAACGGTTCACCACGACGCCGTGCATCCCAGCGACCCCAGCCGACCTTCTCGAAGGTCACATTGCTTTGAGCGACAGCGCTTTTCTCGTCGAACCCTCGACCCTCCAGTGCGGCCACAACCAGTCTCCGTGCTTTGGCCGGAGGGATACCCGAGAAGCCGGGGACAGAAGAAGTCAGATAACCCATCAGGTGGCGAATCGCCAAGGGTCCATGCTGCAGCATAATCGCCGGAAGATGGTGTTTGGCCAACATTCCAGGAGTTATAGCTCCGGTGCTATCGAGATCATGGGCAGCGAGGGAATTCGCCGTAACATCTCCAAGGTCGACGTCCGAGTCCACATGCGAACAGGCAAGCGGAGAGTAACCCGACTGACCGACATCCTCTCGTCTGAAGCCCTGAGGCGGCAAAGTTGGCGATATAGAGTTGGGCGGTGTGGGCAACAAAGCAGGAGCCCCGGGGCGAGTCGAGTCGCGACTAGCCATAGGGAAGCCGGGACGCGGCTTGGGGATGTCAACCGAGGCGGTCTTACTAGCAAGGGCCATAGCGATGCTGGACGTGGTATTCTGGAAAGCCATGATGGGTATTTCGAACACAGGGAGAGGAATGCTTCTATTCAACCTGGTGGCTAATTGTTGATCTGTAATCACATGAGTCAGATGAATGATCGACCAACCATAGCTGCGCAAACCAAACAATGGGAACAATGAATGGAGGGAGATGACTAAAGTTCCAGACCCAGTGCAAACCCCCTCCAACAGCCACAGATCCAGGGTCAAGAATGACTGATGTAAAAGGGAAAAAAGTGTGGTTGGTGAAAATCGGAGGCTTGGGGACTTTGACTCACAGTAATCTGTTGACAGCAGATCGTAGAGGTGCAGACGCAACGGTGAGCGGACTTAGTATGCAAGCCAGATGCGATGCGACGCGCTAAGAGGGGCGTAGGGTTGGTTGATAAGGGGAGGAACGCGACGGGTGGGAGACAAGTAGATCCAGGGGAACAATGTTCACACGTTGTTGGCAAGAAACCACGTAGAGTCGATGGAAAAAGTTCCTTGACAATTCAGACAAGAGGAAGAGTTTCGGTCGAAGAAAAGAAAAAATAAAAGGAGGAAGGAAAGAAGGAGGAGGGGAAGGGAAAGGAGGAGGGAACGCAAGGAGTTGGTGGTTGCAGTCCGTCAATAATAATAGTAGGTAGGTAAGAATAGTAAGAATAGCACAATGGAATGTCTTGTCAGCCGGCGCAGCAGCAGCAGCAGCAGCAGCAGCACTGCAAGTCGTGCTAGAAGGAAATGTCCGTTCTATTGCAGATGATACACGGCGGTCAAGTACTCAGGAAGTACCAGTGTTATCGCTTTTGCTCTTCGGGTCATTTGTGTTTCTCAGTTACTTTTTGAAAGGGGGGTTCAAGTGCCAGGGAATGGGAGAAATTGACCAGCCTTAAGAATCCCAGTCCAGAGTGAGTGAACTGAGTGTGACCCTCTCTCTTATCGCGGGATTTCCTTGGACAAAGCATCTTTTCTCCTCTTTCTCCCAAACCCCCTCCCCCCGTCATGCCGCCCCATACCGGCGGACCTTTACGGGGTCCATACGAAGTCGAGTAACTAAGGGCTAAGTCCCATGGCTGGGGCGTGGGCTCGAGGATTGGTGGACACCAGTTGGGCCCGCTTGAAATCGCACCGGGAGGATCCGGGGCCACCAGCCCTGGTATCGCTGCCGCTGTTCTCTTACCGTATCGGAGGTATGGGCTGTGTACCTCCAAAGTATCGGCCTTATCAAGGTCCAAGGAAGTCCAAGGTACACCGTTCTCCGGTGCTAGTCGCACAGAGAGGAAGAAGAACGAACTGACTGACGATGATGATCATGAATATCCCACTAGTCAGTCGATCATCAGCTTGCTCCTCCCCTTCGCCTCCATTCCCCTCCCCCCGCACTAACTACATTGCACTATGTATTCCTTCAATGTGAATTTACAATTCAAACAGCTTCAGAGTCCCAAGAGACTAATGAGTGGTAGTTAACCCTGAGATACCCGCCCACTAGTTTACCCCTCCTCTACTCCCCCAAAACTCCCAACAATCAACTTGCGATGATGTAAATTGGTCTTGAACATTTCCTTGGTCTCCGGTTCGAGCAAACAATCTCCACTTTATTCCACCGATCGACGGACATATCAAGGCTGGTACCTCGTGCCCGTGCGCCCCTCTCCCACCCCCCTGGCGTCTACAATGTAGGTTTGGCTAGAAAACCTGGTGAGGGCAGGAACCCTACCGTACGTGTACGCCTTGCCTGGTCGAATTCTGGTAGGCGACAATCTGCCATGACGACGGCACGTGGGCATCGGGCACTGTACATGCGCCGTAGGATTCTATGCTGACTGGCTGACTGGCTTGCTTAGCTGCTTGCCTTTCCCCCCTCCATCAGAAGAGAGAAGACGGGTGGGTGATTTGCCATCCATCCTTGTCGTCAATACTGTGTAGTATCGAAGTATTCGAAGGTAGTACTGAGTACTCCGTACCAACCTGAAGAACTTTCCGGTGGTCGAGGGTGGCCTCAAAATTTTGGCACCAGTTTTAGCCTGGATCAACGTGATTCTCAAAGGGAATCCTATTGATCCAAAGGCTATCCTAAAAATCTCTCATGGTTGCATTAATTATAACTCGGTTCAGAAAATGCCACTGTGTGCTGACTACACAGTCCATCACTGCGAGCTTAAATGTCAGCAGCTTTTGGGTAGTAAGTCAATGGCTGACAGACCCAAGGTTGGGGGCTGATCCAGCCGCAGGATGTCACAAAGATGGGCTGTCTCCATAGGCCTTCAATCGGCCCTTCGTTGCATTCAATGCATTGCAGCTCTTTGCAACCTGTGGTTTCTATTGAATCGGTTTTGAATAAAGTATAGGACTCGTCCCTTGAATGTACTTAGAGTACGACGCTTACAGAACCTGTCATGTAATGTTAGGTAAAAAAAAAAGGTACGGCAATAGATCGGGGGTGGATTTGCATACTACAAGAGGGTAAGACATGTCAATCATCATTCAAACTAAACCGGCTCTCAAGCTAAACTGATACATCCTCCGGCTTGAGATATATATCAATAAGAGATCACCCACACGGCATGCGTCTGTGACATGCTCTTCCCCTTCATACCTACCGTACTGCACAAAGGGGCAGGTCCAATGCTCACCGACAAAGACATGTATGTCTTGCAATGCCTTCTCTTGCAAATAGGTTTTGAAATTTAGTTTAAGACAGGTAGAATGTCTTGAGGGAAATCAATACGTCTCAGGTCGTCTGGAGGTTCCATGTTGGCTGTAGTAGAGTTGTTTCATCGCCATCAGCCTCTCAGTCTACATCTCATTCACCTTTCATGTCATGTGGAGATAAATCTTCTTGAAGCGAGCACTGGTGTGGTAAGAAGGTTGCGCAGGGTAAATATGTTTCATTACGTTCAGAAGCAATTGTACTTGAGAAGTTAGTGGCTATTCACAAGGTAGCATTGAATAATCATTCAATTTATCAAGTATTCAAGTATGAGTATTTGTCGGCCAGCAGCTCAAGCCACAGCACGGCGAAGTTGCTGGTGCCTGATGCTGCCATATAACTCAGGCATCAAGCCACAGCTCCCGTGGCGACGTCATCTGACCGGACCGTAATCCGCTTCCGATCTTATCGGCCTCACATCCGAAAACGCACTTCTCCAACTCATTCCCACCCTTCGGAAATCAATCCGCCTCTCTCCCCTACGGGGTTAGAGTCCCCCTCTCCCGAT